GGAAAATTTGCCTATCAAATCAATCAAATCCTATAATCCACAAAGGGCTAGAGTTATTAGAGTTCAGAATAAATCAAAACTGAAAAAAGTTATCTTTTTCTTAAGAAGCAGAGTTGACTTTTTCTATTGTCATCAATGATGTCCATGTACTTAAAGAGATATCCTTATTTCAACATTTTATGTATTTCTAAACTTGGACCATTAAACTTGGATTCCAATATATGACAGTCATAGAACTGAGGACATTAATGACATAAAATTGTCATCAATTTTAATGTCTTATATTCAATGTTAATTGAATTTCAGAACTGATTCACACTGTATTTGATTTATCTCTGATTTATCTCTTAATAGTTTGCAGCTGCATACATGAGCTACCACTACCATTATCAATAATATTGCATATTTGACTTCTAAATGTTTTGTACCTACAACCATTCTCTGTATATATTCATATACAGAAAGTAGTATTTTTCATATACAGAAAAATATATCTTAGATGGTCAGAATACTTCATTTCACAGTAACAAGTGAATGTTAGTAGTTTGTAATCACACAGAAGGACTTTCTCTAAAATAGTCTATCCTGAACCTGGCTCTTTAGGTTTCTTAATGGTGCATTCACTCTTGTTGCACCTGAGTCCATCCACTTTGCTACTAGTCATCTTTTTTCCCCTTCCATTTTCCTATTATAATATTCCTATTGCCCATTAGATATATTGTATTTTAGCGCACAGTCCTGGTCTGAGTGATATAGGAGTTGAAGTCTAATACATTTGTTGAAGATTGGTTTATTATTATAATTCAGTTAGGAAGTAGTTCTATTTATAGTTCTATTTATTTGATCTTTTTGCAGTTGCAAAATTTAAATGCCAACTCCTACTTTGAATGCCAATGACGAAGTATTGGATATTTCAATTAACTGTATAGGCTAACATATTTTTCATTTTCTAAAATTGGAAAATTGTATACAATAACAATAGCTATTTAAGGAGTATATGGAAATAGTCAAACTAATTTATAGGTTGTAGGTAGGCTGTAAAAAAAAGTTAGTTCAGGCCTTCAGAAGAGGGTAGAAGAGGAAAAATAATTATTCAGCCTAGGAAAGTAGAAAGTATCAGAAAGCAGCTCAAAACAGCTACTCCTTAATCATATTCCCCTTAAAAAAGGGAACAGTGAAAGTTTTGGACAAGTTTTTAAGATTGATGACAGTCCTTTGAGGTAGGCCAGAAAGATGAAATAGACATTGCAGAAATTCCAGAAATTCTAACTTTTTGTTGTATGGCAAATTACCAGTATTTTGAATCGTTCATTCCTGCCTTGGTCTCTTTGAGATTAAATATATATACAAATACCAATATATAATTTGATACTGTATGCAAAATTCTAGAAGCAAAGCAAAGCAAAGCAGGAGTCTGGTCAGTATTTTGATAGAAGACCACTGTGAGATTCCTGGGCATTAACTTGACTGGTAAGTTGTACTAACAACATCAATTTGTAATCAGGTTGAGCTGTCCATGGAGCCATTTCTTTGTCAACTTTGTCAGCTAATCTAGACAAAAAACACACCCAGAAATATTAGCTCTATTTTTATTGTTAGTTTACATTACGTGAAGTATTAATACCACTCTTCAATGCCTTGGTAAGGCCACACTTGGAATACTGCATCCAGTTTTGGTCACCACGATGTAAAAAAGATGTTGAGACTCTAGAAAGAGTACAGAGAAGAGCAACAAAGATGCTTAGGGGACTGGAGGCTAAAACATATAAGGAACGGTTGCGAGAATTGGGTAGGTCTAGTTTAACGAAGAGAAGGACAAGGGGGGACATGATAGCAGTATTCCAATACCTCAGGAGCTGCCACAAAGAAGAGGGAATTAAGCTATTTTTCAAAGCACCTGAAGGCGGGACAAGAAGCAACGGGTGGAAACTAATCAAGGAGAGAAGCAACCTAGAACTAAGGAGAAACTTCCTGACAGTGAGAACAATTAATCAGTGGAACAGCCTGCCTCCAGAAGCAGTAAATGCTCCAACACTGGAAGTTTTTAAGAAGAGACTGGACAGCCATTTGTCCGAAATGGTGTAGGGTTTCCTGCCCGAGCAGGGGGTTGGACTAGATGACCTCCAAGGTCCCTTCCAACTTTACTACTATTACTATTACATTATCTTGCAAGTCTGAAAATACATCTCTTCCCCTTCCCTTTTATAGTCCAAGAACCTAGGAAATGGTCCACTCTGAGATATTTACCATGCCCTATTCCCTCACCTGACTATTGCCCAGTCTATAGCTCTTTCTTCTGTCTCCAGAGGACATTCTCACAACTTGGAACATTATGATCTCATCTGCAATGAGTATCATAGTATTTTAATATATTTTTACCAAGAGCTATTAGTGATCTATTCCGAAATTCAATTTAAGACTCTTGATAACTTTAGTGGGTTGGGTGTATATAATTTAGATCCTTACAGGACTCATGGCTGACTCAGCTTTTGCTTTTCAATTTCTGTTGTATTTGTAAATCTTTTTTTAAACTAAACGAATTGAGTACCACTTTGGTTAAACTCTGTATACAAAGGCAACTTATTATATAATTTGTCTTTATATGTTAATGTTAATTATACTTATATTATATTTTATAATCCAAGACAGCGAACAAACACAATAATTTTTCCTGTTCCTCTTTTTCTAACAACAGCCCTGTAAGCCTGAGGTGGCTTTTGAGCCTAAAGTGGGTCCCCTGGATATTAGCTTGGTACCTTAACCATTAAATCAAACTGGGTCTCATATATATAATGAGTTTACTCAAGGTGAGTAAATAGGTAAATGTTACATTGTGGAAAAATGTCTTAATTTTTTCAAATTATATATATATGATTTAAAACAGACATTTCTTCTACTAGGTAATAGCTATATGGCCATTTCACATTTTTAAACTTCATATAGTGGCAAAAAAATATCCAATTTTCAGGCTACTCATTTAAGGTTTATAAAAGACATCATTTGGTTTATTGCTTAAATTTGCTTAAATTTTTAAATAGGAAGCAAAAGGGTATGCTAAACAGCTAGAGTGAATAAATAAAAAGTTTTGGGCACACATCCAGTTTTAAATCAGAGACCAAACAAGAGAATTTCAAAGATGGAAGAAAGAATGTGGAGGTCAATGTGGAAAATATGTCCTAAGTCATGAGAAAATATTTTTCCAGCTAAAATGAAATCATTTTTCATAAAAAAAATGATGGGGAAATTTATAAGAATTAAGTATGCTTTAAACAATTTTTTTTTACAAAGGATTGTCCTTTTTTCTCTTTGAAAAAGCAATGACGCAGATATTTGAAACATTTAAGTATTTTTACATCCTTCAACTTAAAAGTATTAGGATAATGTTTTAATGTTACTACTCAGTATTTGTACACAATTCAAAATCACTCTTTCAAAAATGAACCATTTTATAAACGAAATATTTTGCTAAATAATTTAAAAATCCATTTAAAAGGCTTGTCATGGAAGAAAATGATGCATCTGTTCATTTTTTTTGAATAAATCATTGCAAAGTAATTTTCATAGGTTATACTGTTTGAATTAAGATAAAATATTCATATGTCCACACACATTGAAAAAATTTAAAAAATCTTTATATGGGGTGTACTAATTTAAATGACTATAAGTGTAAAAAAAATGCAGTAACCTACTATGGAAATGTGCCTACAGATATATGTAGAAAGAATACGGTTTGAACACATTATGTTTGTTCTTGGATATGGTCTATAGTAGTTACTATCTGTCCCTTGAAGAAGTAAATTGTCAATTTAACAACTCCTCTTGCAATAGATTTTTGTTTTTCTTTACTATAGTACAGACATGTCAAACTCGCGACGTCACGTGATGTCATGTGACATATCAGAGCTTTTTCCCCAATGGGATGGGCATGGTTTCCTTGTGATGCTGGCCAGGGGCCAGCAGTTTGACACCCCTGCTGCAGTACATTAATACAGGGATGATGTTTGAATATTTATTGCTCAGTATTTGTTCAAAATAAAATGCATATATTCAAACAGGAGTTCTTTACATTCAGAATTCTAGAGCTATTTTTAAGGCAGTGATTAGCACAACCATAACTTCATGTCCAATAAATGAGGTGTCACAGAATGTGTTCCCAAACTTGATGATAACTGTGGGTTTCTCTTCATTTATTCTCATCAAGAATTCAGATACCTTTAACTGCAGTAACTGGATAATGTCTCATTCTGAAATGGATGCAGCTGTTCCCATTACAGACACAGATCCAGATGCTTGGAAGCCAAGTACTAGAAAATGAGTCACCTTTCTTACATACGCACGTCATCCCAAACACTGCCTGAATGGGAAAATGACTCTTTCTAAATGTAAACTCAGAGTGAGGAAGCTTTCCTGTATTGCAACAGATCTGGCTGCATGGATTCCAGTAAAACTAACAACAGGCCATTCTTTATGTGTGCCACAATTTCATGTTCTCTGCATTTGATACGAATGGTGAATGTAAGGACTACTTTAATAGGTAGGTAAAAATCTGGCATAATCATTTGGTTATTAATTATTTACACATCATAAATAATCATGAATCAGAGAAACATACTTTCAAAACATAAAGTTGCAGTTTTGAGTCAAATCTTATCGGGTTTATATTTGAAAATACAGTACTGAGTTCTTACTGAATTAATGAGACTTTGTTTCACATAAGAAGCTGTATGATTGCTTCCCCTTTCAGTGAGTCACAAGGAGGAAAAATGTCTGTTTCAGCAAGATCAACTCTAATTAGATTCCCCGTCTTTTGTTGGAGCCCTACCCTTGCATTTCTAAGCCAGCCAGTATTTTTTAACTATGTTAAATAAATCTTATTCACCTCAAAAAGAAGTCACCCAGGAACATCAACACTCAGGAAGCAGGAAAATAACTTGGTAGATTAAGTAAAAGATAGGTAAGCTTTCAATGCAAAAAAGGGTCTACAGCATAAAGGTCCTTACCTTAAAATTGTGTGCTTTTTCATAGTTGAAATGGTTGTCGTTCTGAGTCAGTGCTGCTCTTCTGACCAAGGAGGTGATCTGTGAATAGGCAAAGAGTTTCAGTGGTTGCCAGAAGAGTGCCCCTTTCACTCCCATCTTAACCCCCAAGGCTACTGCCAGGAGTTCTTGGCGCTTTCGTCCTTGCTTTGATTTGTGAACCACAGCACAAGCTTTGTCATTGTCAAGCCATAGCTCCTCGGCAAACATAGTGCTTGGATCCCAGATCTTTTCCTTGTCTTCAACAGAGGCTGGGAGGCTGACTGCTGTCAGCTTGGTCAAACTGCTTCTTATGTTAGACAGCAGATTTGAAGCAGCTGCGGCAGCCCATTCTGAGGAGACCTCTGGCATGTGACTTGAATGGGCTGTCTTGCGTGATGGAAGGAGCTCCTGCATCTGAATAAGTAACAGTATGCGTTGTGATACTTTTTTAAAACAAAGTGTGCACAGGACAATAGCCTGGATTCATGTACTGAAGGATTCCCGCTTCTGGCCCTCCCAAGAGCAGAGAATTCTGCCAGGCACTGAAGAAATACCGATAGTTTTACAGCTTCATGTCACAACACATCTCCAAGGATAGATCACATCTACCCAGGAGCCCCCTTTTTTTTCATAAAAAACTCTAATGCTGCATCCAATTGCACTAAGAGCTGGAAACCTCTGAGCTCTTCCAGTACAAATGCCATCAAATTAAGCCTTTAAACCACAGTGATTCTTTAATCTTGTGTGTGGGGGGGGAAGGAAATACCCTCCTCTTTTTCATATCCTGTACAAGGAAAAATCTAGTAGCACTTGAAAGATTAGTAGCCATGGCTGCCAGCACCTTAAATGAAGATTGTTTCTGTCATTCTCTGCTTTTTGCGATACATAAAATAAATTGCAGTTTTTCTTCTCATTGTTTTAAAACAACATTTAAAAGAATGCCCAGGCTATTAAATTGCTCAGTGAAGGAAAAAAAGGGGGCAAAAAAAGGAAAAAAAGAAAGATTAATTGAAGTATAAGAATTCATCTAGCCACACAATTTTTATGGTACAGTTGCTATTGCTTCTATGTTTTGTGTGCATCTCTCTTTCCCTCTCCACGACTATTATGGCAACACTGTATAATTGAGAAATAATTCAATCCAAATGCTGTCTACAATAAAATGTTGCTGTGTTGAACCAGCAAATCCTGTATTTCCTTAGGATCCATTCCACTATTCCAACCTCTTAATGCTTTCCATTCCTCCCCCCTACAAAGTGAAACTAAATATCCATCCCTAGATTCCTCTATAGGTAGTCCTCGACTTATGATCATAATTTTGTCCTAAAATTTCTGTTGCTAAGTGCAACAGTTGTTAAGTGAATTTTGCCCCATTTTACAACATTTCTTGCTTCAGTTGTTACGTGAATTACTGCAGTTGTTAAGTTAGTAACACGGTTATTAAATGAATTTGGCTTCTCCATTAACTTTGCTTGTCAGAAGGTTACAAAAGGTGATCACATGATCCTAGGACATTGCAACCATCATAAATATGAATCAGTTGCCAATCATCTGAATTTGGATCCCATGACCACGGGAATCTGCAATGATTGTTAGTGTGAAAAATGGTCATAGGTCACTTTTTTCAATGATGTTGTAACTTTGAATGGTCATTAAATGAACTATAATAAGTCAAGGACTACCTGTACAATGTTGCGGAACTGAACCAGTTGACTGAACTTTGCTGCATAAGAAATTCAATTTGGTCTGTGATGGGGAGGGGGACGAGGATTCCCCATTGGCAGAAACTCTCAATTTTCCTATCTCCTGGCACTTCTTCACTCCCTCTTGTTGCCAATGTGCCAGGGCTCTCCTCATTCTTTTTCCTCACAGAAAGCAAATGTAGCAAGGATGAATCATATGTGTCTCTGTGTGTGTACGTACATGGAAGCAGGCTGGTGGCTGCGAGTAGAATAGATAGAATAGAATAGAATAGAATAGAGTAGAGTAGAGTAGAGTAGAGTAGAGTAGAGTAGAGTAGAGTAGAGTAGAGTAGAGTAGAACAGAACAGAACAGAACAGAATAGAATAACAGAGTTGGAAGACATGTTGGAAGTCTTCTAGTCCAACCCATGCTCAGGTAGGAAACCCTATACTATTTCAGACAAATGGCTATCCAGTTTCTTCTTAAAAACTTCCAGTGTTGGAGCATTCACTGCTTCTGGAGGCAGGTTGTTCCACTGGTTAATTGTTCTAACTGTCAGGAAGTTTCTCCTTAGTTCTAGGTTGCTTCTCTCCTTGATTAGTTTCCATCCATTGCTTCTTGTCCTGCCTTCAGGTGCTTTGGAAAATAGCTTGACTCCCTCTTCTTTGTGGCAGCCCCTGAGATATTGGAACACTGCTATCATGTCCCCCCTTGTCCTTCTGTTCATTAAACTAGATATACCCAATTCTAGCAATCATTCCTTATATGTTTTAGCCTCCAGTCCCCTGATCATCTTTGTTGCTCTTCTCTCTACTCTTTCTAGAGTCTCAACATCTTTTTTAAATCTGGTGACCAAAACTGGATGTAGTATTCCAAGGCATTATAAAGTGGTATTAATTCTTCATGTGATCTTGATTCTATCCCTCTGTTAATGCAGCCCAGCACTGTGTTGGCTTTTTTGACAGCTGCAGCACACTTCTGGCTCATATTTAAGTGATTGTCCATTAGGACTCTGAGATCCCTTTCACAGTTACTACTATTGAGCAAAGTACTACCTATACCAGTGGTGGCAAACCTATGGCACAGGTGCCAGAGGTGGTACTCGGAGCCCTCTCTGTGGGCACATGTGCCGTTGCCCCAGCCTTGCCTCCCCCCGTGACCTCCTCTTCTTCAGCAGCCCCCCCTGAAGGAGAGTCACCCCCAAGCATGGTCCACATGGAGCATTGCAGCCAAGGACATGGCAGCCAGGTAGTATAGACAAGACTCTGCCCTCCCATCCCATCATGCAGTTGATGCTGCAGGGCGTGGGCAGAGGGTGTGGCTGCCATAGCACTGTTGGGTTGCCTGGGTGATCTGCAGTGGGCCCTGGAGGCGGTGAGTGGTCCTGTGGGCAGGCGGGGCAGGGGATGGGGGGCAGAGCAGGGGCAGGGCAGGGGGGTAGAGTGGGGGTGGGGCCAGTTTTTGGGCACTCGGTCTCTAAAAGGTTCGCGATCACTGACCTATACTTTACCTGTGCATTTGGTTTTTCTTGCCTAAGTATAGAACCTTACTTTTTTCACAATTGAATTTCATTTTGTTAGGTAGCACCCAATATTCAAGTCTGTCAAGATCCTTCTGTATCTTAAGCCTATATACTGGAGTGCTGGCTATTCCTGCCAGCTTGGTGTCATCTGCAAATTTATTGAGTTCAAATTTTATTAAGCCCTATTCCAGTTTATCACTTTGTGGTTCAATTAAACTCATCATTCCTAGAGTTTTTCAAGAATCTCTCTGCTAAAGCTTCTTGTCTACTCTCACTTTCTCTTGGAAACAAGTCAAGACATTCTACTAAAAATTAGAATGTATATAAAATAATTTATTAAATATAATTTTACTGTTTGATGATTTGGTTAATAAACTTAGCATTTTAAATGATTACTATGTTGATAGGTTTGTCAACTAGATTGATAGTTTACAAGCAGTATTATGTGAAAGCATATAAATTGCCATCTAAATAATATAAATATTAAATATTAGAGCAATTTATCCAAACCCTACTGGCCTATTCTTAATTTTAAAAGGTCACAGAAAAGAATGTTCCATGTTATTCTATACGGAACTATTTGTAGAATTTTGTGGACCCTGAAAGTCTGCTGTTGAAATTATTTCTTCAGTTCAGGGATCACATTCCTGTCTTTTTTGCTCTTTTTGCTTTCAACAGTTTGTACAGATCTCACTGCTGAAATATCCGCACACTCTGCTGCTAAATAAATCCATTTTGCAGCCGATAAGACAGCTGACAGCTACTTTTAGGTAGGCTAATAGAGAGATTTGGACCTCCTGTGGGATAACGTTTCATGCTTTTCTGTCCTACCCTTATGCCATTGGTGGGCCAATAGCTAATAGATACTGGATTCAGAACAATGTTGTTTTTTTTTAAAGCTTCTGTTATTGCAGTTTAGCCTTTGCCCCTGTATTTCTTAACCTTAGCAATTTAAGGTTAGCTCCAGCATGCTGACTGGGAAAATATGGGAACTGAAGTCCCCACATCTTAAAATTGCCAGAAACACTGCTTTACCTGAACAATAGGCAGAAATCCTATCCTCATTTCCCTTGGACTACTAGCATATCTGAATCCAGTGATTTTTTTTTTTAAAGATTTGCTTGGGATTGCATTAGGCAAGGTTGTTCGATATCTACCATTTGACCAATTTTTAACATCTTATTTGTGCATTTTCTTTCTTAAGTTGATGAAGAGTGAAATTATATATCTTTAAGTTACATAACTCAATCCATAGCTGTGTTAAATGGATATTAGAAATAAGGGAAATGTTAACTTGTAACACTTGCCTTATTATGTTTTATTTATTTTAAGTGCATAATGCATACTGCTAAAGAACTAATTCACAAGCAATGTTGACACTTTGCAATATACCTGTTTGCGTATGTGCTCTGGAGACAGACATATTTTGTGGCATCACTGGAATTATTTAAATAGGTCAACAGCACCAACACAAAACTCTGAGAGTAAAGTCAATTTTCTAGTAATCCTTTGGCATTTGTATTATATCACTTAAATTGTAAAATCCTATTATATAAGGTACAATACACCATTATGCAATACTGCAGTTACTCTGCTCCAAATACAGGATTATACATAAAACATCTTATTAGAATTCTTACTTTAATGAAATAATTTTAGGAGAAAAATCCAGTAAAAAGAGCTGCTATTTCTCCTATTTCATTAAGACATAAAGTTCACCTATATGTCTCTGTAATTGTGATAAGCATAATAAAATCTATTCAGCTAGGCTGTTTTTTTTAAGTTGTCTTATTGTATCATAATAATATCTTTTATTAAGGGTGCACTTTTGACTTTGGACCAATTCCCAGTCAGT